GGCAGATACATGCAGAAAAACTAAACTGGTTAGTTTAGTTTTCCACCTACCCTACCACTTTCTTAGTTTTTAAAGATTACTGTTTTTATTTGAAGGAACAACAATATTTTTGGAATCTGGATACAGAAAAGTTTTGACTTTCAATATAGAAATTTCAAATTTGTTTCATGTATTATCAAGTTAATTTATATGTTTCAGATCGAATGATTTGTGGACGTTTCTGTAAGATCGTGAGCAGAATGGAAGAATGTTATTTCATATGTCAAGGATTCAAATAAATGTTTGAGTGTACATTGTTCTTTTCTTGGACATTGAAAAGTGATTGTTTTCTCTTTCATCTTGTGTTACGGGATGAGCACAAAATACCACCTTCTTGGTCTTTTTTTATGTGTAGAAACCCCCGTAGTGCGGATTTGCTTTGTTATTATTGACGAATAATTGTCTGTATTGTCAACAACTATATATTTGTGTGTGTGTGTGTGTGTGTGTGTGTTATACAGCTTTTTACCGCCTCCGTGGTCGAGGGGTTAGAGTCGATGACTTCTAATCCAGTTACCTCTCTGGCCAGGGTTAGATCCCCGGGAGATGCTTTGGTAGTTTAGCGCGGAGGAAGGTAGTCTAGTACTGGTGTAACTCTTCAGGAACAATGGTTAGGAAATTACAAGCCTATATGACTGAAATACTGTTGGGAAAAGGCGTAAAATGAAACAAACAAACAAACAAACAAATACAACTTTTTTTCTTTCGGGTCGTCATTGCGCATATGATACACGCATACAGAAAAATATACAGATCTATATCGAAATTCATAATAGGATATGTTGATACACTTCAACAAATCAAGAATTGATACAACATTTTACAGTTATTTGATAAATAAAAAATGTTATATCCATTCTGATTTTTTAAAGTGTATCGAAAAAACAAACAGAAGGTGGTGATTCTGTACAAAACAGAAAATAACACAGTTTTTATTTGGAATGACACAGGTTTCAATATACATGTACGTAATAACTTATAATTAAGTATAATACAAATTCAGTATAGTAAACAAAACCAAATGGGTATAATAAACAATTGACTATAATATTATGTAATGCAATTGATCATTAAAAATATTTTTGTCATATGGGTACTGTAGTAAATAGTTTTGTCAAAATGTCAAAGCATAAGAAAACAAGAACTTCGCAAGGTTCGCACAAAAATTTGGTTTTCTTGGGTGATGTGTATTACAGACGCGTGATTTCATTGGATAATGAAAATTGTGATTTATTTCATTAAGAAAAAAAAGAAGTCATGGGCAATGATCTCATATTTTCATTTTGGATGAAGTTAAACAATGAAGTTCTTTGCTTGTGGGTATGGGTTTCAACCAAGATGCCTTCATGTGAGTGGCATGCTATAAACTGACTCTGAACAATCGACTACTTAGGGGTCAACTTTTCCTAAATAAATAAATTAATAAGATATATTCAGAAAATAAAAGACCGTCCGAAATGTTTTGTCAGGAGTTAGAAATAAGAAATAAATACTTGATTTGTTTCATAGTATTATAATCATAAATTAATTAATAAATGAATCTCTCTATCGATATTCTATAATGGACGGAAGGACACCTGAGGTTTTACTCCACAACTAAACCTGGAACGTCGCCATATGACCTATACTGTGTCGGTGTTACGTGAACAGATAAAACCCAATCAAACAAACAAGCTATCTATATCAAGAAATAAAAAACATTCTTCCAAGAAGAATTTTTTTATTATTTTTATTACATATTTGTATTTATCAAGGTGTTTTTAACAAGGTATATCACAAGCATTTTATATTTACGTGCAATTTTATGATCTTTAAGCAGACTGTATAATTATATATTTGCATTGGCATTTGGATAACAGAGCGGTAAGGACTTAAAACATACTAATAATATCTGAAAAATATATAGATATTATACATAATTAATTGTTTATTTTGCATATCTTTGCAATAAATAAAAAGGTATAAAAATTAACACTTTTAAGATTGCAGTAAATATAAATGAATATAATTGTGCTTTCCATTTGAAAAATGACGAGTAAAATAAATATTTATCAAAAGATACTTTATTGAGTGTGTTAATTAATTAGGAAATACTTTATCGACCTAAATAATGTGTTGTGTGCGCATCTCCTACATTTCTCAAAGCATTTCAAAATAAGCTTTCAAAGACGTATAATATATTGCCTTGAAATGTGCAGGCTTATATTGTACAATTTTTAATTTTCTGTTTAATTTGCATACTTTTTTAACCTAAATATACATAATATACAATATATTATGTATATCTTTAATATTCAATACATTGTATATAGATAAATAATCATCAATATAAAACTCCATTTCTTAAGGGACCAACACCAAACTTCCACAGAATTTTGCGAAATAAAGAAATTCCAACGTATTAAGTTTTGTAACTGGTCGTTCATTGGTGTGTCAACAATGTCGTATCATACTTAGTGTTGGAATTCAGTTTTCAGCCACCAAATAATGATAGCATATTCAGAAAAATGCTTATTTGTTTTATATTTAGATAATGTTCACATTTTGTATTTACACCAATCACCTATATGGACAATATGATCATTTTCTTGATTGTGTGTTATTTGTATAAAAAATAAAAAAGGATATTATTCTCATTCGTAAGAATTTACTTTAGACTTTGCCATAATGCGTACGTAGTATTATTATTATTAAAGAATCTGTGACAGTATTCAAACTCCTGGATGAAACGGAAATATGTGACAATACAGAGGAGGCAGGGGTTAAAATGAAAGGATACTAGTGTGCGGGAGCACCTAGTATGCAGTAACGGTATAAAAGGCAAGCCCTTCGATTGGCACCAACAGCCCTTATCAGAGCTTATTCCTTCACAGGAACGTTAAAGTGCTCGTTCATTTGAGCAATCTTCAGAAACCTTCTTCCTACTCAAAACTTCTTTTGCTATTTTATCGAAAATTACATGGAGGAAAATCATCATCACCATGTGCTGCAAAATCAATCCTTTAATGGCATGATTGTAGCATGTCAGGTGTCCGTACTCGGTAGCAGAGCTTCTTTTTATGTCTTAACGGGCGGATGAACATCATTAAAAAGATATTACACAAACGTACAAACGTATCCGATCATTTCTCCTAAACCTTAAGGCACACGGCACGGAAAAATCAAGGTCCTCCTTGGTGCAAGGGATATTTGATTGACCTGCCGTGACTAATTGATGCAGGTGGCTTTACAAAGAGCCGTTTTGTGAAAGAAATATGTCGTAGATGAAATTGTGGTCTCTTTCCAGCATTGTGCGAATAAATAATTGCGGATACATCAGTATGACATAGACATTACGATGAGAGAAATGATGCACGCACAAGGACGTTCTGGTCTGATAAAAGATGATTATTATCACAAAATTTCTTCCTCAAAACATTGCTTTCCAATCATTAAAAATGATATGAGCCCGAATTTTTCGAAATTCGAAGATATTAAAGATGATATGGGTGTATACCTTATACTGTTTTAACAATTTTCTAACAGTCAAGAATTATAGTAAAATGAGGTTTAAACAAGCATATCCGTGACCAAACTACAGGAAATGACGCCATCAAAACGTTGTGTTTAAACGTTACTTGTTGAGAAAGTTGTAGATTCGCGTAATAAATTTTTTGAATGTAGTATTGTAATCTATTGTGAGCATTTGCTAGACCATTAGCTCAGTATTTATTGATCATGCACAATATATTGTCGTTCCATGACTTTTGTATCATGTATTCCATTTTCTTTCTTGATTTTGTTTGAATTTGTTTTATAGTCCATACATCATTGACCAGAAAAGTTGTATAATTTTCTGTTTCATGCTTAGGCAGAATTGTGCTCTTCTTTGTATTTTAGTCTGAATCCTAGGTGCAAGTCGGGCGCATAGCACATTGCCGTAAAAAGTTAACCAGCTCGACATAATATCTGAAGAGAAGAATTTTGAACGTTTTGCAAACGATTTTCTTACAATGTTTCATTCATTTCGATATCTAAGAGGTAAAGGTAGTGGTTTTTATAAAACTGTTATCAAAGATTATCGTAGAAGAGAAGGTCATGTTGCTTCTGCAATTGGAAAGATCTATTCACGCCCTCTAACCACGGCAACTTATGCACCTGGACAAGAGCCCGAAGATCCGTAAGTATTATTTAACAATGCTTTCTTTCAACTCAAGAATGCCTTATTTTAAATTGATTCTAATCAATGGCCTTTGTCTTAAAATTCCAAACATTCTGTCGTAAGAATTGATACAGTAACATGCATTGCTTTATTATAATACTCGGAATAAAACATTAAAGGCCATCCCGTACTTCAATGATAAAATTGTCGCAGGTTCGATGGAATTAACGCCTGCATATGGAAGACAGCGGCAAAGCTACCGTCTACGCCCTTATAGCACCAGCATTTATGTTTCTATTTTTTCCTATTATATATCATCATAGAAATCACCCCGTTCGTGCTTTGCTTTGTGCCCTGTCCTGTTTTTGTTTGGATCCTGCTGGCTCCTTGCCGGTTGTCCTGTGTTGCTGGGTCGTGTGAGTCGTGTGGGGGTTGTGTTCGATGAACGCCGCCCTTTCTTGTTGATCTTGTATTTCATAATTTAAAATTAAAGCAAAACTCAACATATAGACATGATACTGGTCAAAATGTAATGTCTGTCAATTGATTTTGAAAATACGACACGAACTAGATTATCAAGAGAAGATCATTAACCCGTGCATATTAATTAAAGGAGCAAATGGTTGAATGTTTAAAAAAGAGAGGTTGAAAAAGATTCTAACCAAACACAAAGATTGTTAATAAAAGCACGTTAACACAAAAATTGTTAATAAAACCACATAAATAACCATAATTATAGCTTTCACAGTACTAAATCGAAGAATTAGATCGAATAAAATCAAAACTTGAGGTAAACACGTGACCCATTATTTAAATTGTGAAAACATGAAAATATCACATTTTCCACTTATAATTTAGGGCGTGTGATCCAAACAATCCGATCATCGTATCCTATGACAAGGTTCTGCAAGCCCAAAAAGCCATTGCGGGGGCCATTAAAGAAATGCCCTGTCAGGTAAGTAATTTGGATTTTATAATGGTTAAAAATATGTACATTATTACACAATTTTAATACGAGTTTAAGTTTACAATCTTAACGCTATTAGAACGCTATAAGAACGCATTTTAATATTATGTACTAATAAATTATACCAGGAAGTGGTAAACCATTTAAAATATTTTATCTTTAAGTGGAGATAAAAATGTTTCAAATGGTCTACTTGTATGATCATAAATATTTTTTTGATGAATATTTTTCCAAGCCTGATGATGTATTATGAAAATAAGGGCTGGTTATATATGGGTACAGGGTGCAATTTGCAGCAGAACATTTAAGCGATAAATATTTAGTATATCATATCTTTATTATTTTTTTTCTGTAACATGGCTTAGACAAGCCAGAATTTTAAATGTATATATATGATATATGTAAATATATTTATTGTTATCAACTTTTTGCAGATGCCTGATCTGTTTTAGTATTCTTGTTCTCACAGATGTCTGGCATTTTACAATGTTCAATATCTTTAACAACATTCACATATGTATCGTCTTTTTCACAAAGTTTATATTTATATTCTTTAACAGCGTTCACAATTTTTTTTTGTTTCTTTATCAGCGTGTAATGATGTCTGACATATTTAGTTGGGTCTCTTAGTGTTTTTTTTTTCTCTATAACAATGTTCATAGAAATCTGACCATTTACTTTGTAATATTTTTCAGCGTTTGCAGATGTCTGAGATTTTATGGTTTTGTTTACTTGATAAGCGTTCATAGATGTCTGATTTTTTATGAATTTGTTTACTTGATAAGCATTCACGGATGTCTGATATTTTATTATTTTGTTACTTGATAAGCGTTCACAGATGTCTGATTTTTTATGAAAATGTTTACTTGATAAGCGTTCACAGATGTCTGATATTTTATGATTTTGTTTACTTGATAAGCGTTCATAGATGTCTGATTTTTTATGAATTTGTTTCCTTGATAAGCGTTCACAGATGTCTGATACTTTATGATCTTGTTTACTTGATAAGCGTTCACAGATGTCTGACGTTTTATGATTTTGTTTACTTGAAAAGCATTCATAGGTGTCTGAATTTTTATGATTTCGTTACTTGATAAGAGCATGCAGATGTCTCACTTTTTATTATTTTGTTTACTTGATAATCGCACGCAGATGTCCGACTTTTTATGATTTTGTTTACTTGAAAAGCATTCACAGAAATCTGATTTTTTTATGATTTTCTTTACTTGATAAGCTCACGCAGATGTCTGACTTTTTATGGTTTTGTTGACTTGAAAAACACACGCATATGTCTGACGTTTTATGATTTTGTTTACTTGAAAATCGTTTACAGATATCTGACTTTTTATGATTTTGCTTACTTGATAAGCGTTCACAGATGTATGACTTTTATGATTTTGTTTACTTGAAAAGCGTTCCCAGATGTCTGACCTGTTCAACATGGATATCTATTTCAAGAAAGAATACACTCAGTATACCGGAAGGTAATGTGATAATGCAATATTGTTGACGTAGAAATCACAATTAGATTTTACATTACATTTTTTCTACATTATTACCAAAAATATATATGTTTAAGCTCTATTGTTGCTTTCTCGAACCACTTTTGAATAAGTTCCCTGCATCAGACTAGCACTTTTAATACTTGTTGAAAAATAAATGGTATAGAAGCTTAATATATTGTGAGCAATATTGTTGAATTATACGATAAGGTTATCATACATTGTTGAGTACAACTGTGAGTGTATTCATTTTAAGTATACAGCTGTCAAACCCATATTTGAAGATGTCTAAGTCGAGAGAAATAGTGCTTTTGCAGCTTTGTACGTGTTCAATATATCAGTTCTGTTCTTAATAATGTACAATGACCTTATTTCACATCACCAGTTTTTTTGTTTTTTCTTTTTGTATTTTGCATTTGAATAATTAAAAAGAAGTTTTGTTTTTTCAAATGTCTTCATCACATGATTTTTTGTTTCCATTCACAGTTTCAAGGAAAGAGGAGCAATGTTTTGCCTGTTGAACCTGCCACCGGTAAATTAAGAAACTACAACAAAAAGAATAACATATTTTCACGTTGTTTCTAACACATTAAACGGGTCAATTTATTTTGTTATCAAATAACGTTTTAGTATAGAATTATCGAAAGAATAAGGAGAAAATGTTAATTCAAAAGCATTGTCATATTCTATTCTTTAACAGCTTGTGCGAAACAAAGGTCGTTGCGTTACTTGATGTGAAATCATTTTTTCCTTAAATTCTTTGGGAAGGTCATATAAAGACTTTTTTGCTTTAATGGCAGAGAAAGACAAGAGATGTCCAGCTCTTTACATTATTTTAGACACCAACGAGCATCTAAGTAGAACCACCGACCGCCGGTCATTTGCATGAAAGAATCCAAAGTTCGTGTCGGATTCAAACCCTAGCAATGAGAGTGTATGTGATACGAAGTAAAGGATTAAACTTCCTGGCCACAGAGATCTCCGTCAGATCATCAGTGTCTTTCGAAATGCTTAGACTAAACTCACCAAAGCGTTGCTAAACTTCATTCAAATCCGTATTTCTTAATATGTAAATCAATTTTCTTTTTTTATATAAAACGATCGGCTCTTTCCTTTTTATGCTTATCTGTTGCATTCCTTTCTTTCTACATTGGCAAGTTTGGATGTAACATGTTCCTCATTTATATATAAATCAATGGCCTCTATTAAATGAGAAGATTCCTTCCTTTCTTTTATGAAAAGAGCGTCCTCTCTTCTTTTATTACATATTTTCTTTTATATGTCTTTTGTATATGAAACAGATGATTTTTGGTTTGATTTTTATTTGAAACAGTTATTTTTTCTTTTATTGTATTGTATAAAACACTTGTTGTCTCTCTTATATCGAACAGCTGCTTCTCTGTCTGATATAAAACAGACGGTTTCCTTTCTTATATGAAATGCGATGTTGTTTTTCTTTCTCGTTTAAAGCAGTAGCCTTTCTTTCTATACGAAACGGGTTATTTTCTTTCTTATGTGAAATAGTTGTTTTTCCTTCTTGTTTGAAACATTTGCTTTTAAACATATAAAACAAATGTTGTTTTTTTTTCTTTCCAACTTAAAACATTGTTGTCATTCATTCCAAAATACAATAAATGTACAATAATTGTCATTCTTTGTTATATAAAATAGTACCTCATGTTCCTATAGAAATCATTGTTTTATGTAATTTATATTTAATTCATGAATTGGTTTATTAAAAACGACCGTCTCCATGCTAGCTAATAATTTCTAGTATTTTGTTTTCTTGATGTTTAAGACATTTTGTCATCTTCTTATCTTATTGTAAAACAAATAGCTTTTCTGTAATATTAATCGGTTAATAGGAACAGAAAAAGAAAGGTGTGATAGCAGCAAGTGCCGGGAACCATGCTTTGGCACTGTCATATCATGGTAAACTCCTTGGAATACCAGTGAACGTCGTCATGCCAACGATAGCCCCGCTGATGAAAATCACGGCATGTAGAAAATATGGGGCTACTATAAAAATAGAAGGGAACAACATTGTCGAGGTAGGTGGAGTAATCTAACAGAAACTGCTTAAATATGAATAAAATTGTTTTTGAATTTAGATTATTTATGACAAGCCGATATTCTACGATTAGGAAGAGCTTTTGTTCTCAACCAGGCATCGGCTTCGGCGTCAACTGGTTCAGTTCTAACATGCAAGTTGATATCTCCAAATTATTAAGGAAATGGGTTGAATTTGAGAGCATAAAAAGAGGTCAATGTCAAAGGCCCATAACTCTGACATAGATTTTGACAAAGTTATGGCCCTTTTTGAAGGTAGAAAAGTTTACATTATCAAGGCTCTTGTCTTACTATCAAACACTTAAAATAGTCATGCACGTTGTCCTATCGACAACTCTTGCTATAACATATCATTTAATGTTTATTTCGCACATGAGTTGTCTCTTTATAAAGACTTATATAATTTAAAGGAGTCCTTGAGAGCGCCTTTTCCGAAACGAGTTTAACGTTAGTATATTTACATAAATATGAAGTACAACAATCGTTCTTTTCATCACATGATATAGGATGGGTGATGACCTGACATTTATTTACGGTAACATTTGGGTCGCCGCTAATGATATATTTGCTATTATTTTCGTTTTATTTTTCAGTAGTTGAATATTTATCATATACACAATGTTCCTGGCAATAAATCTCTAATTTCAATGAATGTAGCTCTTGAAGTTTTCTAGATAAACTCGCAGAAATTGTGTCATTTTCATCAAAAGTTTCTGCGAGAATTATGGCAAAAGTAAGAGAGTTACAATTGAAAAGTATATACCAGTGGAATCTATATACTTACTTGTTCATTCAAATATTGGAAGATAGCAAATACCATAACCGTGATCTATTTTTACCGCAAACAAATATCACGTGATTACCTATCCTGGTGACCATTATATCATCTTTTTCACATCAGTTAATACTATTAACAAATATAATATTATATTCAGAATAAATACGAACGGAATATTTTACAAACAAACTGATTAAGGTTTTTCATTGACTATAACATTACATCATGACTTCCAACAGTCAAAATGTATGCATTTTTGTGGTTCGAAAAGTCTGTTCAGGTTTGTGATGAAAAGAGAAATACGTATTAATTGTGTGAAATTGAAAACAAGAGACATCGTGAGTTAAAATTTGATATAAACTAGATGCAACCATTAAGGAAAAGTGCTAGCTTTCGGACAAACGATCGGTGGGGGACATTTCAACTTCATGAATTCCCGATTTCATCTTCGTAAATTCACAATTTCAGCTACATGAATTCCCAATTTGAATTTGGTGAAGTCACGATTTTATCTTCACGAATTGATGATTTCAACTTCTTGAAATCATGATTTCATCTTCGCGTTTTACCGATTTCAACTTCTTGTTCCCGAATTCAGTATTCATGATTTCACGATTTCAAGTTCATAAATTCACAATTTCAATTTCGTGAACCCACGATTTGAACTACCCGAATTCACGATTTCAAGTATTGAAATATTTCTCGTGACAACAGACCTAAAATAAGTTAGCCATGTCTTAACAACAGTTAAATAAACCTTTGTGTATGTATACATTCCAGTCAAGGACCGTTGCTCTGAAAATGGCTAAAGAAATGGGGTTAGCATATATAAATGGGTAAGACTTTCCATCTTAGTACAATGTAGTATATGCATTGAAAAGTTGTTTTGTTGTTGTTATTATTTTTTGTTGGACTTTTTGTTGTTGTTCATCTATTAAATTTGTTTTGTTTGTTGTTGCTTTTTTGTTTGCTTTTGTTTTGGAGCTTTTTAGGAATATCATGAAGCAATTTGCTTATGTAATTGAATTAAATACATGAAAAGTAGCTGCTTCATGTATTCATCGTGGCTTATGTTGTCATCATATGCAACAACTTCAGTGTGTCCAGTCTGAACTTCTGAAGAAGACCCTTTAGCAGGAGGGAAGGAGGAATGAACAATAAAACATAAGCTTAATTCTAAGATCAACAGGGGTTTAAAAGTTCTTGAAATATTAATACAGTTGTACATTTTATCACATATAATGTAGATAATGATGATCATTAATCAGGGGTGTAGATTGACGGTCATTACAAGGGGTATAGGGGATTGAATGTCACGTAAACGATATAATTTTAAATTCATCAATAATTTTGAAAAGACATCAAGTATTGAGTATAGAGAAAATCAAATTAGGTCTTACGCGTACAATGCTTTAAATAGTTCAAAAGCCAAATGCCTCTTTTGTGTTTAAGTTGGGTTTTATTGAAAGTGTGTTTTGTTGTTCATTTGTTTAGTTGTTTTTTTCTACTTGTTATTGTTATTTTCATCATAACTAACTTAAACTTGTCGGATTTTCTCGTTTTTTGTTTCTATGTTTTTTGTTGTTTATTTTTAAATAATTACAAGCAGTGTACATTTGAGAAAGTCTCTATGGGGAGGAAAATGATTACCTAAGAAAGAATGGAGAGAAAAAGATTAATAAAAAGTGTTAATGTATTGCTAGATATGACCACGAGGATATAATAGCTGGACAAGGCACGATTGGACTCGAAATATTAAAGGATGTACCCGACCTTGACGCATGTATTATACCAATAGGTGGAGGAGGCATGATAGCTGGAACAGCTCTTGCTATCAAAACAGAGCGTCCAGACGTCAGGATCATTGTAAATTTACTTTTAAATGCGTCTGATGATCAAGATATATTAATTTTAATAATGAACCGGTTTTTGTCATTGCTTCTTTTTATCAAGAAATTCAAAATAAAATGGACAGATTTGAGAAATGTAAAAAAGCATATTTTGATTTTAAACTTGATCATCACAGTTGTTTGTAGTATGTGCGTCATTTCTAGTTTTATAGGGTAAATGTACATTATTTGTACATATTACGATACAATGTCTTAAAATTCTTCTTTGGACTATGGTATTATAAAAAATCAATGCATCTTCATGAAGATATTATTCATCTTCAGGGTGTTCAGGCGGAAAACTGCCCTAGTTTCAAGGCTGCGATGGACGTCGGGCGGCCCATCTATACCGAGACTAAATCTACGCTGGCAAACGGTTATTTTTTGTCGCATTCTTTGATAATTTAACAATAGATTATTTTATATCTGAATATTGCAACATTCAATACTTCTATTATTTTATTTCTTCATATAGGGTCTATAAAGGCAAAACTTGATTATATATCTATACTAATGAATACTTTGAAATACAACTCGTTCGGCTCAAACAACAGAAGTGTTACATATTTATATACATAAAGATTGAAAAACAATAACGCCGTAACAATATATCTATCTTTTATAAGTTTAATTCATGTGTTTATTATATGCATGAAATATTAAGAAATACTGATGAATAAAAATATATATTTTCATTTTATAAATTTGAATGTAAAAAATTGTTTTTAATGCAGTGAAACATATTTTCAGTATTATCACTGGTGTCTTACGGGACTACTTTCTTAAAAGTTAGCAAAGACACAAAATTGTGAGTCGTCAGCTCGAAAAAGAGAAAATGTATATAAAAAACAAAAAAAAATATAATTATTTTCTTATAAAATAATACAAGTTTATTTTCATCTCGTTGTATAGAAATGATCATTTTGTGGTATTAAAATGATAGTTTTTCAAACGAAATAAGTCACGTATTTACGGACAAAAACTTGCATATCCTCTATGTATTCAGGGCTTGCAGTTCCAACTGTCGGAGTCAACGCGTTCCGAACAGTCATGGCAAAGAACCTGATTGATCGTTACGATGTATTCCTTGTCAAGTAATCATTTCATTGCTTTTTTATAATACAAAGAAAATATTTTCAACACAATTTATAGAAGAACTTGGTATAAATGTAGGTAAATTCCTGAACAAATGTTAAATTTTTGCTTTGTTTAATATTAAAGTCCAAATTGATGCGTTATTCCATCTTCTTACGGAAAAACAAAGCAAATTATAGAGTAAATTATTAATCTGGAGCGATCTCCCCTTTCCATTTTTGTGTCTTTTTATAACGCATTATGCTGTGTGGTAGCAGTAAGAAATTGTCCAATACTTTTATCTAAGTGCTGGTTTGTTCTATTGCCCTTTGAAATCAAATATTCAAATACTTAAGCAGTTGAAGATTGAATATGACTTTATATATTAATATGGGCGTTAGAGATGTTACACTTTTCACTGACTCTTGGGAACAGTTTGAAGCCAATTGAATCAATCCGGTGAAAAAAATCAAAATCAGTTCAGGAACGGGAAAATATTCCAAATCAGCCCGGAACGATTACGCACTGTGAATTTTTGTTGTTGCTGTTGTTTTCCCTCGAGAAAAGCTCAGCTTTTGATCCGGAATGTTTATTACATTATATTTATGACATTATCAAGGGAAGAGTTTATTGAGCTGGCGATTTTGAGGTGTATTGAGCTAGAAAAAGCGGTGATTGAGGGCGGAGGCGCTACAGGATTGGCAGCAATTATACAAGGGCTTATTCCGGGACTGGAGGGCAAAAAGTAATTTATTTTTCTTATTCTATGAATGAAAATTTACTGAAGTGAGAGGTGTGCTAGTGGTCACAGTGAGTGATTGATCAGAAGGTATAGATAAGAGTAGCTTTGCTTGAGTTTATGTAGAAATGTGTGAAATGGCTCTCCGAGTGAAACACTCAAAAAGAAAATCTTAATAGTTAGTGACAAAAATTAACGATGTTGCAACATTAATAGTATTTTGTCATAATTTTTACACTCTCGAATACGTTCCTGGAACCAACCAGTACTGAGCAATGAGTATAACGTTACTTACGCAATGGAAGCAACGGCTCGTCCTTACGGGGATTGAACCCACACGACTATAGATCCTTAGATTACTTGTCTAAAACGTAACTCCTTGGACAATAAGTTTAATAATGATTTGATTAATAATGATATTTCATTTTAGGGTTGTGATCATTCTCAGTGGCGGGAATATTGACACCACGGTACTTGGTCGCGTGATTGAAAGAGCACTGGCTGAAGATAACAGATTAGTCAAATTCCAAGTGTCGCTCAGTGACAGACCTGGCAGTATCGCAGAGCTGACAAAACTTATGGGAGATCTTGGTGTCAGGTCTTAATCCAATGCATTGTTTAATTGTTTATGTAATTTGCAAAATGGTCAATGTACCAAATGGAAGATCTTGGTACAAGGTTTTAATCCAATGCATTGTTTAAATCTTTAAATTCTTTAAGTAATTTGCAAAATTGCCATTGTCCCAAATGGGAGATCTTAGTGTCAGGTATTAATCCCGTTCATATTTGATTCTTTATGTAATTTGCAAAATGGTAAATGTCTCAAATGGTAGATATTGTTGTCAGGTCTTAATCGCAATATATTGTTTAATGGTTTATGTTATTTGCAAAATGGTCAATATCCCAAATAGGTAACTTGTTTGTTATCAATTATTTGTCACTTCTAGCATAATAATGAAAATCTGTGTTGAATAATTGTGTAACTTCCAGTTAAAAGGCGTCTCTGATACAGGAAAGAAAAATAAAGTACAATACCTATCAATGTAAGATATACTGCTTGCATTGACCCTTACAACGCTAAAAACATTATATGGTGTTGTTCATATATATAAATGGATATAACCGTTCATCAATTTTAGGAAAATTTTCAAAATAAGGTATTATAGGGGTACACAATATGTTGTCGTAGGCAGGCTAAGGGTTTTAGAAACTAAAAATACATGATCTTTCATGAATCTATACTCAATCAAGATCCTCCATTTATGCCATTTTCCTCGATTCAAATGAGATCACTGTAATAAAATAGTTTAAATTTTCACAGCTATGATTACTTAATACTTTAATTACTTATATTTTTACTAACAACTTATTACTTCTTATTACGTTAGATTGACCGTTGAACCTCTTAAGCGGGTGAAATTTTAATTAAATTATAAACATGCCGTAAATAACAATTTGTATGATTATAGATTCGTTTTACAATTTCCTGACCGGATATATGGGAGAATACAGCCTTGCCTCGGGTCATAATAATCTTATTTGAGCTGTATTCTTCCGTATATCCCGTTGCATAACTCATAAAAAGCGATGGTAAGATATATTAAGTTCTGGTTTCTGCTCATATCTAAGCTATATTTACTTGAATAACCCGATGTATAAATAAAAAAGGGATGGCAATATAGATTTTTTCCTGGTTCCTTCTAAATTTTAGAATTAATTATCCCATCTGAAGGCATTTATATTGCATTATTGAGTCGTTTCTAAAGCATACAGTCAATTCTACTTATAACAATATCGCTTGTAACGATATACCGCTTATTACGAAGTTGTTGCCGCGGTCACGACTCTTTCTTTTAAAGTGATTGCTTCTCGGATACAACGATATCCATATGTAACGATATAAATTCGGCGGTCTCCAGAATATCGTTATAAGCGGAGTTTACTGACGTCTCTCAACATTTATATTACTGGTCAACCATATAATTCCATCAATCATGTTAGAAGGAAAAGATTTGTAGAGTCAGAGGAACTTTGGCAATTTTATTATTATACTTTACAGTATCAAGGATATTTTCCATGAAAGACCGTGGGAGAAGCATGACGTGTTCTCTGCAATGGTAAGACATTTATAATTTCAAGACATGGATTAAAGTTCTCCCTTTTAAAACATCATGTCCCATTACCTTTATCGATATTAATCTATTTTTAAAAGACCATATTTGAACAGATAAAATTAGTTTACAATGAAAATGGTCAAACGAAATCAATATATTTACAAACAAGATAAACCAAATGTCAAATAGATATGTCATGGAGTGGAAAATTATCATCGGATGCACAACATTAAAATAGTCTATATTTTGATAATCTCTTTAAGCGTTATGACGCTTATTTTGAGTTATTTCTTTCTGCTTAAACGTGTGCCATGTGAGTGCACAGGTGCTCGTCCAGTTTTGCTGCCCATACACCCCCGCCACAAAAACAAAACAAAAAACAATAAAAAATAAAATTTAAAACAAAAACCATAGCAACTTGTCTATGATAAATGAAAGATTTTTTCCGTATATACATGTACTTACTCGTATACCACGAAAAGATCACCGAGTAGCCGTAACGCTATGGAGCTTTAATAGGACACGCTGTGGAACAAGCACAATGTCTGTTCTGTAATTTGCTACTCTTTACACATCGTGCATTTAGAAAATTGTTGATATTCTCCTTTAACCTTATACACACTCTTAAATAACGTACATTAAAACTTTTAAGCGGAGCAGTACGTTGTAGGTGTTGAACTTTCGTTTTCGACAAAATGGCCGACCATCACTGTTCTTTCGCAAGATTTAACAAGTTGGAGTGTCCGAGTTTAAATGTAAGTTATTTTAGATTGTACATAGGGTAGAGGAAGAATGTTAACAATTTTCTAAATGCACGATGTGTAAAGACTAGCAAAATAGCTTGTATTGATACAGAACTCGACATTGTGATTGTTCCACAGCGTGTCCTAGTAAAACTTCATAGCGTTACGGCCACAAGGTTACCTTTTCGCGGGAAAACATTTTTTTTTCATTTGTTTTTCTTTCTTTTAACACAGAAAAGTTGTTTTTATTGTTGTGTGTTTGTTTTCTTTTTCGGGGCGGGGGTAGGTTGTAAGGGATGTATGGGCACCAAGACTGGACTATCACATGTGTGTGAGTGAAAGGTTACATATTTTTATCACTGCAGACCATTCAGAGGTCTAATACAACATTTACAAAGATTACAATTCTCATTGTTGATGAATTTGGGATAATCTTTTTTGACTATTTTGACGTTTGGTAAAAACTAAATATCTTATTCCATGTATTCAGTGATAAGAAGATCTACGATTCATCAATATATCATTTCAGGTGAAAGTAGTTTGTGAAACACGCGGTGCTGATCACAGCAAAGAATTGCACGACGCTATCAAGAAAAAATACCCGAATGTCCATCTGATTTGGGGTCATCGTTATGATTAATTGGTGCTTATTTCGGATTGAGTAACATTTCGGATAGTTTAGGACACAATTTCTATATTTGTTACTAATAAGTATAGGAATTTGACATAACCACATTGTGTATATAATCAGTTTCTTATATCTGTATTTATGGTTTGAAATTAGATTTTGATAATTTACATTAACAGTAATATAAGTTTGCAATATTCTTTTCTTTTGCGGTATGAGCTGCTGAAAAAATTTAGAACTGTGTGATACTTTATCAACTAATTGCCTCATTCTACATATTGTTAGACCTTTTTATAACGCGGTGGATATCTCGAGCATGCGCCTTCTTTGTAAAAGCAAAATGTGTTGTTGTTTTATACTGAAAGAATCAGATTCAACCAGTATTTTACTATTCGATATAATTCTCAGGATGTATGACCTGTGAAGAATCTATAAGTGGCTATAAATTGTTATATGTTCGTTTGATGCGCAAAAATGGATTCCGCCAGCAATCATCCCGACACGTACTGTGAAACTATCTAAGTACACAATAAGGAGTCATTCATATTCATATGATTAAAGACTGATCTTTGCGCCTTTCTTCCTTATTTCTGGTAAGACAAAAGAATTTGACCTGTCAATAAACTGTTCGCTACTTTCGATTTTTGTTGTTGTACCGAAATACATGTTTTTATTTGTGTTTTCTAATAATTAGAAACTATAATCAGTTTAATGAGATCACAACCAAGTAACCGACTACTAGGTACTTTGGGTCATGTTTTTTCCCAAATATTTATATGTTTCTTTCGGGATGAAAATGAGCGTAGTTATCTTGTGCTTATTTAGTAAACAACTGGTTGTATACTTGCCAGATATATTTATTTTTAAAAAAGATACTTAATGTTGACATTGAATGATAAATTATGTTGGATGAAAATATAAGTATTGTCACGGATTTGTTTTATAAATCCGTGGTATTTTTCTAATGTAAATGTAAATTTTGAAGGAGGACAAAGTCAAGGGTCATATGTATGTAGTTAAATGTTGATTTTATTTTTTCGGCGACATGGGTTCAAAAATGTAATGTTTTTAAACTGTATGTTCATCACATCCGGTGAATTCTTAATTATTGTATGCAAAATATTTACTAACATTTGTATGATACAGCGGTTTTCTGTGCGTTTTCCGTGTACAGCCTCCTAGGGTGTATAGTAAAGAAAAGTATCTATGCCACTGATGTAAGCGACACGTTTAACAGATAATTTCAGTAAATATTCGTCTTTTTAAAAATATTTTAAGGACTGTTAATGCTTTATAACAACAAATGAACATGCCAGTGTGAAAATATTCGTGACATTGAGACAACGTTGCTCTCTAACGATAATCCAAATGATTTCAACATTAAATTTGTATAGTACTTTACACTCATTCTCATTAAAATACGTTATAATCAAGCGTTTCTTTGAGAATTAATTATCTTTTACAATTTAATGTGAATGTGAATTTTAAGAATGAAGTATGTTTAAACTTGTAAATGTCGGTGATAAGTGTTGAACTCGCCTCAAAAATCACGGTACTATTTTTTTCGCAGTAAGCCTTGATAGACCGTCAGTTTTAAAGAAAGGCACAATTTTACTTGACCCGTAATATGGAACACAGATTCTCATACATTATTTGTATGTTCTTTTATTCAAATAAGACATATTCAATAAGAATTTTAGATTTCAATAAATTTCTGCAATAAAAAAATATCATAATGAAAGATGTGCATAGTATATGTTTAAGTAAAAACTGAAAAATGGCTCAATACCTCTGATAATAAAAGAACGTGTATATCCAATTCTATGAAATTTTGAAAATTGACTTCTTTCGGTACATTTCAAGAGTTTTTCTAAAATGTGTATGAACAATCTAAACTGAGAATTGTTTAAACATTATGACCTTTACATTTTAATGGCCATTTTCATTACCCTCGCCACAATATTTTCTCACATTTTCATTCCTTTCAATTGTCTTCTTCGATACACTGTCTGATTTCAGTGTTTTTAGAAAGACATACAAACATTGTGTCACTCACTCTATCACTCACTCACCAACTCACTCACTCACTCACCATCTCACTCACTCACTCACTTACTTATTTACTTACCTACTTACATACAATTTTCAAAGATGCCACATAAATATTAAAAATACCATATAAAACCAGTACATCGTACATGTAAATTTGTAACATTTCATACATTTTCTGTACTTTGCAAAATACCTGTTTCATAATATGTGCAGAGTATACTGTTATAGAACCTTTTCAATCTTAGAATTATTTATGTGATAAGAATCAGTATGGTATGTATGGCACAAATTCAGTAGCCTTCGGACGTTTTGAAAATACTACAAGATATTTTACAACTTTTTTTAATTTGGGTCATTTTGCATGATAAAATGCCATAACTGAGTAATCATTTTATAATGTAAGCGCTTGTAGAAAAAAGTTAATAAACGAAATGAGTGTGAAAATCAAGATTTATTTGTTAAGATTTTTCAATACATGACATGTAGTAGAATTTATGTTTGAATACATGTGTTTTTTGTTTGTTTGTTTTTGTTTTTGTTTTTTGTTTTTTTTGTTGTCAAAACTTAACAGTAACAAGCTTAAAAGTGATTTTACACTTAAAGGGATCGAAAATACTTTTCCGAGATTTATGAACCATTTGATGTAGATTTTAGGTAATTTGCCTATGTGCGACCTTTCAAAACATTAGCCATTTCTGTGCTCCCTGAAAAAGCATTTAAATTGTGAAAATTGGCCCATAAGTGAAAAGGTTATTAACAAATTAAATTCAATTCGAGCATTGTAAAATACGGTTTTCGCTTGGATTAAAGTATTTTTCTTGTTTTAAATTATCTTTTGCACATCCTTCCGATTTAAGTGCTACAGATGTTCCGTTCAATGTTTCCCTACCTCTATAAATCACTTCCATTTCCTGTTTTCAAATTTGTTCCTTTCCGGATATAAATAAGGCGGTCTCCTTAATATTGTTATAAGCAGTGTTTATTGTAAGAAATTAAAATCTTATGTTATGGGGCTTTTTGATTTCAGTGTCTTTCATATAAAACATGGCTTTATAATATATTTTTACTCCTCTACTCTGTTATGACAGTTTATAAAGATATTGAAAGCTTTTCAATGTGTTGACTGATAATCAGGAAATTATGTTTTAGGTCTAAATCGCACGGTTTCCCTGGAAATGCATTTATATTTATTTTTATGCTGATTGTTTTGTAAGAAGTATCTGATAATATTTAATTTAAAGATATATTCGTGTATTATGACAATGAGTATAAAAAGGGAGGTACGTCTGCAGAACAAAGAAAAGTAAAATGCTGTGAAGTTGTTTTCCTTATGCCTATATGATTTAAACTTCTGTGTATAATTATGTTAAAAAACGTTTTTCGTGATTTTAAGTTAACCTATGTTCTTTGTATACATAGAGGGACTTGAATGATAATCAAGCCACATAATTATTTTACCTTAAAATAGTAAACAACTTTTAAAGTAAACAAAACTAAGCCGCAATCATACAAAGTAGCAAACTATTTTCTTACATATGACATTTCTTAAAACCTTATATTTAAATATGTTAAAAAATCTTCTTTTTTTCAATAAGGAAGTAGTTTGAAACTTTTTGGTTGGGTTTACTTCGCCTCTAAACAGAAAAGGTCATACGGCGACTTTCTAGCTTAACTGGTAGAGGAAGTCCTCGGGTGATCATTCATGCATTATTTTGGGCACATACGCGTATCTGAATAGAATCGCCAACGTCCGAATGCCGTTAAGGACTTTAGATTCTTCCTTGTAGCGAAGCCATCCAGCTAGCTTAGGGCAGGCCGTTGTTTTCCCAGATGACGGCGTGTCCGTGATAACGTATTCATGCCAAAATGCTGCACCTGAGGTTTTTTCTCATCCAGAAATGCTGGAAAGTCGACATTTGACCTTCAGTCGTTGATAGTCCAACCAACAAAGTAAATAAACAATCAAGTGGCTCGTCTTATATCTACTACAGTATGAAATTTCATTACAGGTTCATACATAAATATTTCAATATAAATTTGGAGACAATGTCACGAATTTGGCAGCGTTGTACAAGTAACAAAACAAAACACCTCCAGTTTTCTGTTTTATTTTGTGACAACTTAAAATAAAAATGACTCAAGATGAAGTGCATTATTCAAAAATAAATGTTGAAATCCTTAGATATAGGTTTTTGTAGCCTTAATTGTTGAGGAAATCCTGACAAAATACGAAAGGATGGTGGTTGTTCTCAATGGCCTTTAAATCTTGCACAATGACTCTAAACTTTAAGGTCATCTACATGAAACAGGTAAAAAGGGCATTGCTTCGCTAAATTTAAAGGTTATCTGCCCCTGTAATGTTCTATAATAGGTAAAACATTCAAATTCAATGGCAAGTGATACCAGCTCGTAGGCACCCATGCAAGGTTTTAATGAATCCATATATGATTCTTCTATGTTATTGTCTTTATCGAAACTGCAACAATCTTCCTTGAAACCAGATAGAGCGTATGGATGGCAGCTTGTCTTTTTTATTGTGATCCGCGAGCAGGTTCCAACAAGGCTCGAAATTATTTTTTGCCCTTGTTATCAGAGTATTTTCTTTAAATTAAAAAATTACCTTAAGTTACTTTACTTGTTTTTTGTAATCTAGGGATGCACTGAAAAACTAGAAGAGTCAATTTACTCATTGATATAATTATTACAAAATAAAAAACAATGTTAGTGCATAATCAAACTTCTTAGAATTATGAATAATTCATAGTCAAGTGTAAAAATGACATGCACATAAACAACAGAGAAAACATGTTTATGATGATATTTATGATTAGCAAATGCAGCGTAAAACATTTCGTTTATGGTTTATCTATATTCAAGCAAAATGGAGGATTGTTTAGAGAAAAACGTAATTTCATGTACTTGTAAAGGTTAAGTATTCTGTACGTGAAA